TTTCTGTCTCCCTGTTTTAGCTGTGAACCAAGTCTTACCCACTCCTGTGCTTTACACTACGAAGGGTGCATCTTTATCTCTTTGTCCCCTTGCTCCGGGACTCTGTCTTGCCCAGCCCTCTCATCATAGCTCTGTCTGGGTTTCAGTTAGATTGTTATTTTTCCTTTCGTGTTAATGCTATTGTAACCACACTAGTGCTATGAAGAGTTGAAGCTTGTAGTAAATGGTTACTTCTCTTCCTGTCCATCTTTTTTATTTTGTAGGAAATACGCTTCTTTATTAACCACTTTAAAGTGCACAGTTCATTGGTGTTCACATTTGCAATGTTGTGCCTTATCCACTTAAATCCAAATATTTTCATCACTCCAAAACAATTGGCCAGCCACTTCTTACCCTTCCACACCTGTCCGGGCCTACCTAGCCTGTAGCAGACACTAATCTGCTTCATGTCTCTGGACTGTCCCATCCTGGATAGTTCACATGAATGCAAGCATACAATATATTATGTGTCTCGTTTCTTTCACTTAGTATTTCATTTTGAGGCTTATCTCTGTCATAGCGTATATCAGCGTTTCATTCTTTTTTGGTTAAATAATATTCCATATGAATACACTATATTTTGTTTCTCCACTCATTCATGGACATTTGGTTATTTCTGCCTTTTGGATATTGTGAATAGTGCTGATTACAAGTATCTGCTTAGGTACTTGTATTCAATGCTTTTGAATACACTAGTGGAATTGCTTGGTTATAATGTTAATTCTGAGTTTAATGTTTTTATGAAACTTTTCCACCATTTCAAGTTTTCACTAGAAAAGTATGAAGGTTCTAAATTCTTTATATCCTCATCAACAACTATTTCCTCTTCTTAGGTCTTTTTGCACTTAGCACTAATCATCTTCAAATCCTCCCAGATGTTTCAAATCCTCTCAAATAAATCAACCTATTTTTTTAAAACAGTCTCATAATGCCATTCACGTTGGCCTTGAACTCACTGTGTAGCCCAGGCTGGCCTCCAATTCACAGGGATTCTCCTGCCTCAGCCCTGGAGTGCTGGGTTACAGGTGTGCGCCACCACCCCTGGCCAGTCAAACTAGTGACTAGCCCACCATTTTCATCTTCTTGAGGAGTCTTGAGCACTGCGTAATGACCAGCCAGGCCCTTGTAATCCCTTCGGGTAGAGCCAGGTTTTTGTGTGACGTCCTCTTCCTTCTAACTGAAGAGCTTCCTTGAACATTACCTGTGGCACACTTCCGGTATGCTTCTGCTGGCAACTCACTTCATTGCTTTTGGGGGGATTGAACCCAGGGCTTTTGCACTGACCTACAGCCCCAGCTCTTTTAATGTTTTACTTTGACACGAGGTCTTGCTAGGTCACCCTGGCTGGGCTTGCATTTGTGTTTCTCCTGCCTCAGCCACCCAGATTGCTGGAATTAGAGGTGTGCATCAACACACTTGCCTCTTTACTGGCTTTTATTTTTAGGAAAAGGTTTTTATTGTACTTTCTCTCATAGTCCTTTTACTTGATGGGACTTCACAGGGCTGACTTTAGACAGAAACATGAGGGGTCCTACTTTTTGCTTTCTGTATCTAAGGCTCTATTCCGGTATGCCTCTCCAGGGCCTGACTTTTCACGTGGCCGTTTTTAGATGTGGGAAATAGGTTTCTCCAACAAAGCAAAGGAAAACAGACGGGAAGCGTACTCGTGCTTCAGCCCCTGCTCTGTGGTTCTCCGGGTCGTTCCCTTTCACCATCCCTGCTCACCTCTGTACTCCCCGTCTGTGTGAACACTGACTTCTGGATCCTCATGCAGACCACACCCCTGAGTTTAGAGGAAACTTGTGTCCTGATTTTGTGGTGTCTGGCAAATAGTTTCAGGGAGTATGTTTGTAGCCATTCTTCGGTTTTGATATTGATGGAGTTGTCAAAAATTAACTGTTAGTTTGAGCATAGCTTAGACTTATAGAAAAAGTACAATACTTTCTGTATATGACCTAGTTTCCTCCAGTGCCAATATTATACTACCATGGTACATTTCTCTAAATTAAGAGTTACTAGCGGGGTGTGATGGCACATGCCTGTAATCCTAGCACTCGGGAGGCTGAGGCAGGAGGATCACTGTGAGTTCGTGGCCACCCTGGACTACATAAATGAGTTGAAGGCCAGCTACATAGTGAAACCCTGTCTTTTAAAAAAAATCTATATTACTTTGTGTTTTGCCAGTTTTCCCACTAATGCCCTGTTTGTTCCAGGGTGCACAGATGTAGTCTTCTCTATTTTTGCTTCTTTAGTTCATTATGGCAGGCTTCCTGAACGAAAGTTACACACGCACTCCTTCATCAGCCCTGGGCAGCATCACCCCGCATCACAGCTCCACACACTCCTGTTGCTCAGAGCCACATCTAAACACCCTGTGTGACAGTGACACTGACAGTCACTGAAAATGCTGGTTTTAGACTTACTGGTTGTCATGAAAACTCTAATAGTGTTTTATAGTACAAGTGTTTAATTGCATACCTTTTTATACTTTTTTAACTTCCATGTTTAGTTGTCCATTTCTCCAAAATATGAAGTCCTCTGCAGAAGTGATTCGCGACCTCAAGGGCTGTGGTGAACTCCTGAGATAATGGTATGTGACTGGGTGATTGAAAACTGCTTTGAACAGGAATCACTCGGTGTAAGTAAGTAAACACATAAATTCTCCAGATATCTACCAAGCACCTTCTGTGTACAAAGTGCAGCTGGGGTTACCATGAAGTATCGGGAGGATGTGATTCCTGGCTTCCTGAATGAGTGCTCAGGGCATTTGGCATTGAGGCCTGGACGTTTAGAATTGAACAGCATCAGGCTACATGGATCCCATCTTTGATGTTTATTTAGAGGCCAGTAAGGTCAAACTTCCTCTTTGGCCTTTTTCAGGGCTGGGAAGATGTATCTTTAATAAATTATGAATGATTTAGGGATGAGAGTGTGCAGTATATGTACTATTGTTGTCCCCTGATTGATGTTTTGAAATCTTGTTGTAGTTTTCCTCCTCTTTTCTTTCCTCTTCCTCCTCCTTCTTCTTCCTCTTCTCTTTCTTTTTATTCTCAAGCAAAATGGATTTTAAAAAAATTTAAAAATAGTAAAAGGAAATGACCAGATACTAGACTGACCCCTTTAAACTGAGAAATCCTAACAGTTCTCTGAGATTTCAGCCACTATCAATTTGATAAATATATGCACACCGCCCTATTTTAAGGCTGTGTGGTAGATATGTTTGTCATCCAAAACAAGAGAACAAACACCATTCTCTTCACTTGGTGCATCTTTTATATTTGTGAATTTTAGAAATCCATTGGAGTTAGGTATGGCAGCAGACATGTAATTTCAGCTATTTAGGAGCTGAGTTGAGAGGATCGAGGGTTTGACAACACACTGGGCAATTCAGCAAGGCCCTGTTTCAAAGTGAGAGAAAAGGATAGGGCTGTATGCTGGTGGTCCAGCACTTTCTCAGTATGTTTGGGGCCCTGAGTCCCATCCATTATGGCAAACAAAATAAAACATACTGTAGCAGTCACTTTTCCATCATTAGGACAAAATTCTTGACCCTTACAGTTTAGACAAGGGAGATTCATTTTCAGTCACAGTTTCAGTGGGTTCCATGCATGTTCTGCTGGCTCCAAGACAGAAGTGGCACGTCAGCAGGCATAGTGGGGCACACCTGTAATCCTAGCACTCAGGAACCTGAGGCAGGAGGATCACTGTGAGTTGAAGACCAGCCTGGGCTGCATAGTGAGTTCAAGGCCAGCCTGCACTACAGAGTGAGACCCTGGCTCATAATACAAAAAACAAACACAACAACAAAAGAATACACCTTTTGGGTATGTCACCAGGGACCTGCCCCCCCAGCCAGGCCCACCTCTGAACATGAGACTGGTGAGAGGCATTTTAGATCCAAACCACAGCACACCAACACCTAATCTTTAAAAAGCGATATGGAGATCTTTAGTGGTTCATAAGCGGTGGCAGTTTTTATGACACTGTGAGATGTGCCTCTCTCAGCCCTCATCCTCTATGCCTGTGCATTACATATCCGACATAAAAAAGAGAGAAGGATGACATGGAAGAAGAAAGTGTGGGGCATGTAAACAGCTTAGTGTTTAAAGGAGAAAACACAACTTTTCTGCATCCCAGGTGTGTGATAACAAGCATATGGCAGAAAACTAAGGACAGAGGCTCTACATAATGCTTTTCTTGGGGCCTGCTTGCTCTAGACTGCAGTTCTGATTCCCTGGACCGTGCTCACTGGGCTGCACCTCCTGTGTATCAGACTGGAACATACACACCCTTGCAGATGATCTAGTTCCAACATCCCTCTCCCTCAAGTCAGCATAAATACCCAAGAGCAGACTATGTTTAAAGGATGTTTATTTGTTCCCAATGATGATATGATTTCCCCCTCTTTTAGGCAGGTTTTGACTTAATAGAGAATTTTATTTTTTAAAGGAGACCACAGGTGAAAGCAAGCTCGAAGATCCCACAACAGCAAGTTCTTTAATGCCAGGTAAGAATTTGGGAGTTGGCCAGCGGGTCTGTATGTGTGTGTAAATATGTTTGTTGGTAGGAATTTGAAAAGAAAAAATATTTATAATCATTGCAAGAGTTCCTGGAGGAGAGGCACCAGGATGGAGAGCACAGCTCTGTGTGTGAAAGCTGGGTGTTATGGGCTCTCTAGACGGAGCCAGAGGCCTCAGCATCTGGGACACAAATCGTGCAGCAGGCTACTTCCCTGAGAGTCTTAAGTGCGAGATCCCTTGGTGTTCCTAAGAAACACACATTCTGCCTGAGTTCTGGGGTCAAGGAGGGTGCATGAGCATATGCTCCCCACTTTATGATTTTGTGGGAAAAGCAGGGAGAACACAGATGGTCATGGAAGGTCCCAATCCACTCATGGTGGATGGGCATCATGGTAGGGCAAGAAGAGTACAGGACTGGGATTGAGAGAAAAGTGGCTATGAATCCACCCCCGCTTCCTTCTCTCCACAGAGGTGGCCCAGCAGGAAGCCCCATGGTTTGCAGAGGCAAAGAGTCTGAGTGAGCAGCTGAGAGCCATCTACACCAGGGCCCGTTTCCGCCACTTGTCACTGCTTGAGAGCCCTTCTGACCTCCCCTCTGATCATCTCCTGGGGTGCGAGCTGGCCCTCACGGCCAAGTGTGTCAGCAGTCCTGTGCAGGAGCCCCTGACATTGCCCGAGGTCTTGGTCAACTTGAACTCTGTCATGAGTGTGGAGGGTGAAGCTGGCAGTGGGAAGATGGTCCTCCTAAAAAAAGATCACCTTTCTCTGGGCGTTGGGGTGCTGTCCCCTGCTGAACAGGTTCCAGCTGGTCTTCTATCTGTCCCTGGGTTCCATCACCCCAGACCAAGGGCTGGCCCATGTCATCTGTGACCAACTCCTAGCGACAGAAGGCACAGTGAGTGAGACAAGCCTGCGGCACATGACACGGCAGTTAGGGAACCAGTCTTATTCCTGCTGGATGACTACAGAGCAAGGGCCTCAGGGTCCCCATCATGGAAACACTGATCCACAGAAGCCACTTGTCCAGGTCCTGCCGACTAATTGCCGTCCATACAAACGGGCAGGGACATCCGTCAGCACCTAGATATAGTTCTGGAGATCAGGGAGTTCCCCTTTTACAGCACCTTCTGTGTATTACGGCGGCTTTTCCAGGCGACCAGCCCCAGCTGCGGAAGCTCCTGGTGTGTTTTGGGAAGAACCCGCACATCCAGGGGATTTACAAAACCCCTCTCTTTGCGGTGGCACTGTGCTTACTGGTTGCGGTACCCTTTCACTCAGTCTCTCGACCACGTGGCTGTTTTCAAGGCCTATATGGAATGGCTTTTCTTAAAGCACAAAACTCAGGCTGAGCTTTTCAGAGCCACTGTGTCCTCCTGTGGAATCTGGCCCTGAAAGGGTTTTTCTCATCTCGTTTCGAGTTTAGTGATGATGACCTTGCAGAAGCAGGGGTTGATGAGGACGAGGATCTCACCATGTACTTGATGAGCAGGTTCACAGCCCAGAGGCTGAGACCAGTCTATCAGTTTTTTTTTTTTTTTTTTTTTTTTTTGTGGTACTGGGGATTGAACTCATGACCTGTCACTTGCCAGACAGGCGCTTATGCCACTAAGCTAAATCCCCAGCCCTAGTCTATCAGTTTTTAAATCCTGCATTTCAAAAATTTCTTGCTGGAAAGAGGTTGAGCGAACTGCTGGATTCAGACAGAAAGGAAGATCAAGATTTGGGACTTTATTATTTGAAACAAATTAACTCACCCCTGCTGGCTGTGTGTTCCTATCACGATTTTTTAAAGTATGTCTCCAGCTACCCTTCAACAAAAGTGGGGCCAAAGATGGTATCTCATTTGCTCCATTTAGCAAGTAAAGAGTCACTGGGACATCCGCCCCCAAACAGTGACCCCTCAAAGCAGGAAGAGGAAATGAGGCTGGATGCACAAATGTTCAGGTCATTGTGGCAGGTGTGTCCAGAGCAGTGCTTTTTGCTGCTATCAGAATTTTTATTGGATTTTGCCCTGAGCATTGCTTATAAAAGCAGTACTGTTGCTGCATGTGCTCCATTTATTTTGAATTCCTTCAAGGGAGATCTCTGCCGTTGAGGGTACTTAACTCACAGTACTTCTTTGATTAACCAGAAAGTCTCCAAATGCGGAAAAGTATCACGGTCTTTCTACTAGGCAGCAAGCAGAGATGCAGCCCAGACAGTGAAATCTTGGAAAGATGTTTTGACAGGTCCCAGATGCCAACAATAGATGAGGACTATGCTTCGGCCTTTGAGACTCTGGAGCAATGGGAGCGGGACTCGCGCTGAAAGAGGAGAACATCCGGAGTTAGTAGCGGCTCCAGCTATAGCCACCGCTGGTCCTCTCCCGCGGCTACTGGCGGCTCTCCCCCAGGCCGCAGGAGCTCCCGCTGCTGCAGCTGCGCGCCGTCCACCAGGGCGCCACAAGTCCCGCAGTGCTCCAGGCGCTCACGCTGCCTTCGCCGCCGCCCAGCACGTTGAGCTCCGCGTGGAGGAGAGCAGCGGCTTCCTGGAGAGCATCTGGCCGGCGCTGGAGCCCAGCAGGGCCGCGGTCACCAAGGTCACCCTGCGCATGGACGAGCTGCTGAGCGCCGCGGAGCGGGAGCTGCTGCTCGCCCTGCCCGCACTGGAGTCCCTGGACATCTCAGGCTCAGCCAAGTTCCCAGGTAGCCTGGCCGCCTTCCGGAGCACGCTCCTGCTGGCCATTCTACTTTCTCAGGCTTAGCTTTGGGTGATGTGTGCCTCTAAAGCCATAAGCCCCTAAATCCTCTTTGATAGTAGAAATATAAACTTTCACTCATTTGGGGGCTAGCAGTATAAATGAATGACAGGCCCCTGAATAATAGAATGGTTTTCAAATAACTCAGATTATTTGAACCTGAGCATCTTCTGGTTAATAAAATTAACAAAACATGGATGTCAATATTTAATTTAAAATATTTCATTAAGGACCCTTAGTAAGCAGATATAAATTACTTTTCTAAATTACTTGTTAGTAAATAATGACCTATTTGTAGATGATGCTTGAAAATTTCTCCTGTCCCAGCTGACTAATGAAAAAAAGGGCGTGGCTTCCTCAAGAGCAAGGTCTCTCCTTTATTGTTTTTTTTTTATTTGTCTTTTGTTGTTGTTGTTATTTTTTGAGAGGGTCATGTAGCCCAGGCTGGCCTCGAATTTGCAATCATTCTCTTGCCTCAGCCTCCCAACTGCTTGGGTTACAGGCACGCACCTGTAATTTGAGTTTTCAATATCAACTTTCCCCATCTTTTTTTTTTTTTGGTATCTAGGGTTGAACTCACTGCTGCACTCTTGCTAGGCAGGCGCTCATGCGCGAGCTAAATCCCTGGCCCAATGTTCCCCTTCTTTCATTAAATTTATTCCTAGGTACTAGTGGGATTTTTTAAAACAATGTTGTAAATGATATTTTATTTTAGTTTTATATATTTATTTATTTGTCTTTTTGAGACAGGGTCTTGCTATGCAGTTCGGGCTGGCCTTGAATTCACTTTGGAGCCAAAGCTGGTCTTGAACTCACAACAGTTTCCCTGCCTCAGCTTCCTGAGTGCTGCGATACAGGCATATGCCACCAGGCCAGGCCTTTTTTTTTTTTTTTTTTTTTTTTGTCTTTTTGAGACAGGGTCTCACTATGGAGCCCAGGCTGGCCTGGAACTTTCAACAGTCCTCCTGCCTCAGCTTCTTAAGTGCTAGGATTACAAGCATGTGCCACCACACTTGGCAAGTTTTTAATTTTGATATAGTCTAATTTATCATTTTTTCTTTGCTAGTGCTTTTGATGTCATATGCAAGGTCATGAAGATTTGCCCCTATGTTTTCTTCTAAGAGTTGAATGGTTTTAGCTCTTTTGATCACTGACGCATTTTAAGTTAGATATGAGTTAAGTAGGAAGTCCAATTTGATTTTTTTTGCCATGGAAATCCTGTTGTTCCTACACTGTTGGTGGGGGAGATATCTTACTTATGTTTGTGAGTACAGAGAGTAACACAGGGCTTCCCAGATGGTACATACTTGGTGAGTGCTACAGACAATTCTTTGTATATATCCTTACTAAAATGAATGTTTTCCAGGGCATGTTAGCACACACCTATAATCTCAGCACTCAGGAGGCTGAGGCAGGAGGATCTCTGTGATTTCATAGCCAGTCTGGCTTTTATATAGTGAGTTCAAGTCCAGCCTGAACTGTGCAACAAGATCTTGATTCTAAAAATAAAAAATAAAAAAAAGAGCTGTATGGTGTCTGGTGGTCTTCACCTGACAATGTGAAAGTAGTTGTCGGGTCAAAATGATAGTTTCAGATTTTCCACTTGGAAATTGTTAGGTCAATCATGGAAAACCATGCTTCTCTGCAGACCAAATCTTCCCTAACCTGGACAAGTTCCCATGCCTGAGAGAACTGTCGGTGAATCTGGACAGCAGTCTGGATATTTTTTCTCTCTTTCCTGATGAATTCCCAAACCTCCATCATATGGAGAAATTACTGATCCAAGTTTCAAATGGGTGTGAAGCTTCCAACTAGGTAAGGATGGCACTTGGATTTATTTGTTTTTGCAGTAGTTGGAAAAGTTACATAGCCAGTGATTTTTGTTTTTTCATTTGAAACAGCATCTCTCTATGTGGTACCAAAAAAAAAAGAGAAGAACTTGTGTGGGTCTGAGGGTTTAGTCTGTCCCCATGGATACTGTGGGCACAGCACTCTCTCCTTACAAAGCAGAGGGCTAGTTGTAAATCTTGAGCTTTTACTATCTGCTAGGAACCATTCTAAGTGCTTCCCAAATCCTAACTTCCTCTCTACATCAGATTGTTGCTACTTCACAGGGATTGAAACACAAAGAAGCTAAGTAATTTAGTCAATTCGCCCAGCTGAGCAAACCTCAACCTGCGTCTGAGCACTCAGCCTCTGGGGTCAGCTTCTGTGCGAGTGGCTGCTGCATGTGTCTCCCAGAGCTGTGAAGGGCAGCATGGAAGCTGCTGGCCAGACTGGAGCTGCCATCGTGGGCAGGTGCCTGCTTGCAAAGTCCCTGGTTTAGCACAACCATTAGCACCTCGCTCTAGGAAACCCTAAACACCAGACAGAAGTGGAACCTCAAGTTATGACTGGCTTCACATACAACAACTCGGGTTATGACCAGAATTTTGGTTTTAACCTAACAACCAGTCTTGAGTTAGGGCCCTAATGCCAGCTGCTTGTGCTTCCAGATACAGATTTAACCCTTAAGGCATTCTGGAAGGAACATCACAACACCCTTTCCCGTATGGGCTTCACTGAGAAATCCTGGGTCAGCGTCTTTCTAAGCACTGAAATCCACCTGTGTACAGGACAGAGACTTTGAAGGCTGTGCAGAGGAGCCTGAGCCTTTGACTGACAGCCTGCGTTACAACCAGCCCTTGGAATGCTTTGAGTTCCTGAGTCATGGGTCCACTCTGTATCAAGCTTTATGAAATCACATGTAAAACATTTGCTGACGGTGATATATTGGAAGTGGTAGTTTTCTTGTATTGGTTGGGGTTTTGGGGTGGTTGTTTATTTGTTTGTGAGATTTTTGGTTTTTGTGAGACAAAGTCTCACTATGTAGTTCAGGAGTCCCAGGCTGGCCTTGAACTCACAGCAATCCTCCTGCCTCAACCTCCTGAGTGCTGTGATTATAGATGTTGTCAGTATTTTTACATCAAGCGAGGCTTTGCTTCAGTGCCATTCCTTGTGTGTTTGTGTAGTGTTTGTATTGTGTACATGCAGTACAGACATAGACATTAAAAGGTGATGGCTGAAGGGGACCCTCCTGAGCTCTTATCTTACAGATAGGAAAACTGATTCCTGGAGAGTCAGTAACCACATTGCCCCACCCCACCCCCATCAGTGCAGATCCTACCTGAAACCCAAGTGACCCAAGTCTTGGGTCTCTGTGTCAGGCTGCCTTGTTTGAAGTCAGTATTGTTGGAACAGGAAGTCATAAAGAATGAGGCCAATTTGGATAGAAATTTGCAGTTTTCTCTAATTTCTGAAAAATCTTTGATATTTTACAGTCAAATTGATTCAGAATTCTCCAAACCTTTGTGTTTTCCATCTGAAGTGCAATTTTTATCCGGGTTTTCAGTCTCTCATGACCACATTGGCTTCCTGCAAGAAACTCAGTGAAATTAGATTTTCTGGATCCTTTTTTGATGCTGTCCCATTTGGTAAGAATTATAATTTTGTACTTTTTTTGTGGGTACTGAGGATCAAACTCTGGACCTCATGCAACCTCTCTGTGGACAAAATCTAACTGAGCACAATGAAAAAGAGCCAAAAAAAAAAATTTTTTTTTGAAACAAGGTCTGGCTATGTAGTTCAGACTGGCCTGGACTCACTGTGTAGCTCAAAGTGGCCTTGAATTCACAGTGATCCTCCTGCCTCAGCCTCCTGAGAGCTGGGATTACAGATATGTGCCAGTACACCTCGCTGTTTATAATTTTAAACATTTCTAGTTTCTAGGATTATTTTCTGAGTAAAGATTTGTTTTATCTATTTAGTCAAATTAATTCAGTGTGAATTAGTATATTGTTTCGGGTTCTTTTTGTTTGTTTTTTGAGACAGGGCTTCACTGTACAATTCAGACTGGCCTGAAACTCACTGTGTGGCCCAGACTGATCTTGAACTTGAGACCAGCCTCCCTCAGCCACAGCCACAGCTCCTGCCTCAGCCCCTGGAGTGCTGGAATGCCAGGCATGCCACCTCTCCTGGCCTTAGTACTATATTTTAATTTTGATCATTTAAAAATACTACTTGTACTCATAAGAAATGTAACTGACATAACTAAATTTTTATTTCCTCTTTCATAGTCATTATTCTGCCAAGTTTTAGTTTTTTGAAGATATTAAACCTGGAACAGCAGCGATTTCCTGATAAGGAGACCGCTGAAAACTTTAGTGTGTTTTCAAATCAGCGCTTCCTACTTTTTGTTGACTTCCTTCCCCTTGCTTCCACGAAGTCCTTTGCCTGCCGCTTGACTTAGCCACAGTGAAGCGGATATGGGCAGGCCTCAGGCAGCGCCCATGGGTGCTGGTTCTGGGACCCTTGACTGACCACAGTAGGAGGGCACTCGGGTGCCCGGCGTGAAATCAGTTTAGTATTTGCGTGCTACCTGCATGCATCTTCCTTTGTGTTTTACGTGGTTTCTGGACTCCTTACATTACCTACTACAGTGTGAATATGATGCAAGTATTTGTCCTACTGTATCGTTCAGGAGATAGTGACAAGGCACAGGGGCTGAGGGCTCATTGCGGATGCAGGCCTGTGCGGGGTCTGGCTCTGCAGTGCAGGCAGCGGCCGACTGGGCTCCCGGCGCCTCTACAGGAAGCAGTCGGAGGTTTCCATACAGTCATGGAGCTTGATCCTCGGGTCTTCAGAGTGGATTTTTTTTTTGGGGGGGGGGGGGGTCTTTTTTGAGCCGGGGTCTTGCTATGCAGTTCAGGCTGGCCTTGAGCTCACTTTGTAGCCCAGGCTGGTCTCGAACTTGCAATGATCCTCCCACCTCAGCCTCTCCAGTGTTGAGATTACAGGCGGGAGCCACCACGCCCGGCCTCAGAGTGGGTTCTACAGCGACTTCTGCACACTGTGGACCCGGCTCACAGCCCTGTGCAGTTTGATTAAGTGTTGGTGAAGTCCTCCCTGTCTCCGGGAGTTCCAGAATGCCAGTAGGCACGAGCTTGCCAATGCGCGTCGGCCGGGAGGGAGCGCAGGCGGCCACCGCCTTGGGTGGACAGTGAGGCAGGCGCTGGGCAGCAGCACTGGGAGAGAGCAGCATATGCCCCTCTCCACAGCTGGAGCCTTGGGTTCACTCGCGAACCTGGAAGAGCTGGTCCTTCCGACCGGGGATGAGATTCATCAGGTGGTGAAACGGATCATCCAGCAGTGCCAGCGGCTTCCGTGCCTTCCAGCCCTCTCCTTTTCCAAGATTCTGAACGATGACAGCATGGTGGAAATCGGTAAGCTCCCTTAGTGCTCCGGCTGGTAGGAAGCCCGGCGCCTGGCCTTCCCGGCTGCACCCAGCGCGAGGAAGCCTGCCTTTAGGGGTCACTCAAGCCTGCAAGCTTCATGCGTGCACATGGCGCGGTGCTGCGCTCACACTCAGGGCGGCCTGCAGCCAGCGCTCCTCAGGTCGGTGTCAGACACGCCCACGGCTGAGCCTCTTCCAAGTGCCTTTTTCAGCTGGATATTAATATACTTACAGAAGGACAGAAGTCTTCAGTATGCCACTTAGTGAATTGTACTGAAGTCTTGAATATTTTGTGTGGCCAGGTTAGAATATGGGACGTCGCCAGCCTCCTTCCAGCTTCCAGTGTGACAGTGCCTGTTGTAGTCAGGGGTTGTACACAGAGAACAATTCAGGTCAGGACATGGAGTTTATAATATTTTTATAATGGTCACTGCAAGTTAACACAGGAAAATGCAGGAAATCTACCCGCAACACCAACGACATAGATTATTTAAGTCAAGAGCCTAAACCCCACGGCAATGTCCCATATGAGTCCAGATAAAAACCCAGAGCTCAGGACAATGCCTCCACGAGTCCAACTGGAAGTCCAGGGCCCACAAGGACTCACGCCAGTCTCTTTTATGGATTCATGCCGGGAAGACCCAAGGGTCAGCGGTGGAAGCCAGAAAGCCCATGCCAGCAGGATGAAGGAGTTGTGCTAGTGGGATGAGGGTTCTACACTGGAGCTGAGAAGTCACACTCACAACAAAGAGCAGAGCTGTCCTGAAAGGCACCACAGCTGTCCTCAGCGACACGGAGGCCCCGAGCTCCTCCGACGACAAGCACAGTCAGGAACGTGCCAGGAAGCAGTGTGAGGAGTTCACCCTGGAGACCAGGCAGCACATGTCTTCCCCTCCGGAGCCAGGAAGCAATGCTCGATGTGAAGACCAGAGCTTCTCCTGGAGACCCAACAGCTCAGACAGCAACTTGTAGGAGAACCAACAATGCCTCCATAACGCCTCAATCCCTCTCCACACCTCTCTTCTTCTCCACCTATTTATCCTGGCAACCCTTCTCAGGTGGAGCATCTTCTCTCAATGCATGCTGATATAATCCAGCTGGCGTTAAGTTGACCACTAGTTATCAAACCATAACAGTGCCTCCCGCTCCTTGAGGGAGATGGCCGGGGTCTTGCTTTCTTCCGCTACACATTAGTTTTGCCTATTTAAAAATCCTCCATAATGGAATCCTACACAATATATACGCTTTTGCGTCTTGTTTTTGATCATTATGTTTGTGCTATTATGATACATATGACAGAGCTCACTGATTTTTCATTACCAAAAATCATGCTGTGACTATATACATGCTACAGCTTGTCCACCGTTTATTCTAGTATTTGGCTACTATGAGTAGTGCTTTTAGCTGGGCATGGTGGCATGTGCCTATAATCCCAGCACAGTGAGAGGCGGAGGCAGGAGGATCAAAGGCTAGGAAACTTAGCAACTTAGTAAGACTCTGTCTCAAAATAAAAGTGAAGAATAAAAGAAAAACTTGGGATGTAGCTCAGTGTGATGCCCTGGGTTGAATTTGTTAATAGTAATAGTATTACTACCCTGCAATGAGTGGTAGTATTGCTTCCATGAACATTCATGGTCTTTGACATACATATTTAGGAGTTTCTATGGTAGGAGTTCCTGAGGAACTCGGATAAACTCTCAGTTTTCCACAGAGTTTACAGCAATTTACACGCTGACTAGCAGTCATTTCATACCCTGGCCCTGTTTGGTACTTGTCAGTTCTTCAAATTTTATGACCATGGCTCCTTATAGATTTTCTGTTGGTATGTTCTTGTTGTGTGATAGGTACTGTTTGGCACATACATTTTGCTAGGACGTACTTTTATTTAAAGTTACTAAGGCAGGAGGCAAGACCTGAGGAGGCCTGGGCTACATAGTGACACCCTGTCTCAAAAAAAACCCACACAGACAAAAAAACTCTAAAGAAAGCTGAGTATGATGGTGCACACCTGTAATCCCAGCACTGTTGGCTACATAGTGGGTTCAACGCCAATCTGAACTACGTAGTGAGACTCTGTCTCAAAATAAATAAATGAATGAATAAATAAATTAAAATAGAACAGTACACTGAGCACCTCCTACTTTATTCATAATAGTGGTAGCAGAAGTTGAGTCAAATAACTTTGTCTACTGTCATTGAAATAAAAGTCCTTAGGATCATGTTTTCATGAATGTTTTGTTTCTATAGCCAACATAGCAATCAGTAGAAGTTTTCAGAAACTCGAGGACCTAAATCTTTCAGTGAATCACGAGATTACCCAGGATGGGTACAGGAATTTCTTTCAAGCCCTGGATAACCTGCCCAACTTGAGAGAGCTGAATATCTCCAGACACTTCACTGACTGTTTCGCAGTCCAGGCCAGCACGGTCAAGGGCCTTGGCCAGTGTGTGTCCCGCCTGCTCCAGCTGCACATACTGGGCTGGCTCCTGGATACAGAAGATGTCGCACTGCTTGATGCCATGAAAGAAAGACACCCTCAGTCCATGCATTTGCAGATTTTCTGGAAATGGAGATTTCCATTCCCTCCAGTCATCCAGACATGAAACCTTCAGGTGGGGTGAGCTGGCGCATCCCTGTAACCCAGCACTCCAGATCTGAGGCAGAGGACTTCGAGTCCAAGGGCACCCTGGCACAGTGATAACTTGTCTCAGGTGAAAAAAATAAAGACTGTCTCTCAATAAATTTATTGTTCTAAAAAAAACAGTCTCTATGATATGATCATTATATACATCTAAAGTGTACCAATAAACTTAATTTAAAGAGGGAAAGAAAAGACAGTAAAAACTGCTGAATCAACAATTCTAGAAACCTAATTTATCAAACACATTTTAGTAACTACTGTGACAAAAGAGTATGTGATATACATAATGATCAAACTCACCATAGGGAATTTGTACTTGTATGTGATATATTTTGATTCTTGTTTTTTTCCTGCAAACCCCTCTCCCTTCCCTTCTAGTAAGACTGAACCATAAAACTGCTAGAAGCAAACATAGGAAGAAAGCTCTCTCTCACTGGCTTTGGCAGTGATTTTTTGCATACGATACCAAAAGCACAGGTAACAAAAGCAAATGTGTACAGGTGGAACTGCATCAAATTAAAATGTGTATGCACTGCAAAAGAAAACAAAGACAGGCTACACCATGAGAGAAAATATTGCAAACCATCGACCTAAGAAAGGGCTAACATCTGTAATGGTTGCTTGTGTCCACAGGAAAAGTTTAGAAGTTTAACTAAATTGTTTCCAACACAATGTCTTTTTATGGTTCTGTTTTAAAAGCTTTGTAACTTTCCAGTTCAGGGCCACTTGGTGGGACTCTGAAACAGGGGTGTCTACATGAGTGGTCACTGAGCTCAGCTAATTAAATCCCAAATTTATCTATTTGGCTGCTTGGATTCCTATATTGTTCACGAACCTACTCCAAGGACTATCATGGTCAGACTGGGCCCCTCAACCCTGTGTGCCTCCTGCACTGTCAGCCAGAACAAACCTCTTTCCTTTGTAGCTCACCTAGGCTGTTATTTCTTTGAGTCAGTCTCACTAGTTACCCAGGCTGGGCCTCAACTTGTGATCTTCCTGCTCAGCCTCTAAAGTGTGGGAATTTCAGGCATGTGCCACCACACCCCTCTCTGATGGATATTTTTACTGGCAATAGAAAATGGCTGTTTACCCTTCTATTTGCCCCTAGAACAAAAGCTAGCAAATAGACAACATTAAGTATGTATTTCCTGGAATTAATGAGCTTCCTGAACCTATACTGCAGTTTGGATATATGAGATATTAAGGAAGGAAAATTCAAAATATCCCAGATGGCAAACTGGTCCTATTTATAATTAAATTTAACCTGCCACATACTTAAAACAATTAAAATGTGAGCACACAGAACATTGGCCAACAGTCATAAAAAACAAAATGTATAAGAAAACTTAAGTCACAAAACATCTCACTTTGCACAGCTTACTTACTAAGCATTTAATATTCATTTACTTAACAACTATATACTGGACAGCTAACATGGTAGGCACGTAGGAAGGCTTAATCAACTTCATTTACCTTAGCTGGGCATGCTGGCACACACCTGGAATCCTAGCATTCTTGGATCCTGAGGCAGGAGAAACACAAGTTTGAGCCCAGCCTAGGCAACTTAGGGAGACACTATCATACACACATACATATGGACTAGGGATGTAGCTCAACGTGAAGTAGCTCAAACAAAAAAATACAGTGGGTGCGGTGATGCACACTTGTAACCCAGCACTCAGGAGGCCGAGGCAGGAGGATTATCAAGGGTTTGAGGCTAGCCTGGGCTACATAGTGAGGAGACCTGTCTCAGAGAACAAACAACATACAAGCAAAAACATCATTTTGCTTAGCAAAAACCTCACTAGAGTAGCATTTATCATATTAAGCTCTTTGTAGATAGTGAATTGGACCAGGGAGAATGCTTGGGGCCCCAGTCCTTAAACAAAACTCCAGCAATAACCATAGATGGTGGCACAGAACCGAGAGATCCTCACAGTGCCCTAAGAAGGGAAAAAAAAGAGGCTTCAACATTGTAAAATGTCCACAGACGATCAAAGTGCTAAAATCTACCTCTCCTAACTGGAAGGCCAGTTCAAGATCTCGAGCTGCCAATGCTGCCACAACTGCCCTCCATATACATTGCCTGTCTTGTGCCACCCACAGCTTGCTGGTATACCTGCCTGGACCAAAAAAGTGTTTTCTGCCTTTGGTTGGCTGCTGTCAGCCAGCCCCTCTTTGCCTGTAAATGGAAAGACCCCAGTTCTAGAGGCAAAAGTCAACTGACCTGGGCTCAGCGTCCCGGAGGTTCAAAACCCCTTTTACCCTCTTTGGAGATGCCCTCACGGCTGACCTCATAGTTTCCCAGCACAAACATCCCTGCACTTCTGGTTAATGACACCCGAGCTGTATGTTGGAAAGACACAAAAGCTCTGCTGCAGTATCTTGACAGACACCAGTTACAAGAAACTACACGAATTTCTCAGAGCTGCTGGCTTCTAAAGAATCTGGATCCTTGAATTCACAGAAACAATGATGCTTACTCAACTTGTGAGCCCCTGGGAGTGGCCAGCGGCCTACCTGTGCAAATACTTGGATCAGGCCACTAAGGGCTGCTTCCTCTTTGCCTTTGAACCCTAATAGCCACTGTCCTTCTGGTCAAGAAAGCTGACAAGCTCATCTTAGGCTAAGGCCTGACTGCCCAGGTGCCACACACTGTAGTGAACCTCCTGCATAACTGTGGACCACTCAGTCCTGCCATGTATCTGTCCGCCAAGCTGGGCCCACTAGTCCCAGACTGAAAATGAATCCCATGACAGATGCTGAATACATCCTGTTTACAGACAAAAGCAGCTGTTAGAAATGGAGTCCAACAGCCTAGATGTGCTGTGGTCAACCTGGACAAAGTTATTTTAGCCAAAGCTCTCCTGCTACTGCTTCCTGCTGCTGTTTGAAAACCTGCCACCATCACACTGACACTCCTAAGCCCCGTCCAGGGATCTGACTGACTGAAACATCAACCCCAGGCAGAAAATCTTTACCCACTACTCCCAGAAGATCCATCTTAATTGGAGCTTTCCCTCTAAAATCAGGAACAATGCCAGATGTGGTGGTGCACATCTATAATCCCAGCACTCAGGAGAACTGCCCTGAGTTTGGGGCCGGCCTGAGCTACACGACAAGCAAGTGAGTCTCGAAAACAAACAAAAAAACCTCAACCCTCAATAAATGGAATCTTATCAAATTAAAAGGCTTCTACATAGAAAACAACTGAGTGAAGATACAACCTACTTCTAAACACAAATTGGTAAGTCCTAAAGATGTATTACTTCTACCAAAAGAATTAGGTAACAGAATACTAACTGGAATAGTAAAGAGAAAATGATCTGAACTTTCTTTTTTCTTTTTTTGTAGTGGTGGGCTATATCTAAACTTGCCATCAATTAACATATAGTCTTTACATAAGAACATCTGCCAAGCAGGGCATGGTGGTGCATGCTGGTAATCCCAGCACTCAGGAGGCTGAGGCAGGAGGATTGCTGCAAGGTCAAGGCCAGTGTGGGCTACAAAGTAAACTGAAGGCCAGCCTGAACTGCATAGTCAGACCCTGTCTCAGAAAGACCAAAAAAAAAAACAAAAAAAAAAAACAAAAAAAACCTGCCAGCTGTTTTAAAGAACAAGACAGCCACCAGAAATGGTGGCCCAAACCTATAATCCCAGCACTGGGGAAGGTGAAGCATCTGTCTCAATCAAAAGAACAAAAACTGTTTTATATACTATATGCTCTTCAGGATACATGTATTAAAGAAAAAGCACTTGTGCCGGGGATTTAGCTCAGTGGCATAAGCACCTGCTTGGCAAGTACAAGGTGGTGAGTTTCAATGCAGGTACAAAAGAAAAAAAAAAAAAAACAAGAAAGGAAAGAAAAAGCACTTATTAAAGAACACTGACCTACAAAAATAAAAAATTTAAAGTTTAAAGGAGTAACAATAACAGATCACATTTACTTTAATTACATGTTTTATTTATAAGAAATGTATATGGAACAAAAATCTAAGGTAAATAGAATATTGCCCTGAGATGGTAATCTGTGCACACACACATATGTATTTACACAAATGACAGGTAGGACACAGTTCTGCAAATGTATTAAAAGTATCTTTCCATCTGACTGTTCCTCATATCCCATAGCAACAATATTGCTTCTTACAAAGAATTAAAGGAATAAACTGAATTATGTTCAAGTTAACTGAACTTTTATGAACAGTAACAAGGCTGGAGAAACCTTGTTTCTGTAAGCACCGGCCACTGCCTGAAAGTCAGTGGTTTTTGTATGCTATCGAGAGTGTCGCTCAAGAAGGTGTCATTTCAACCTGTCAGTTCTTACATTGATAGAATTGTTGGGGCTAGGGATTTAGCTGAGCGGCATAAGCACCTGCCTTCCAAGTGTGTGGTCATGAGTTCGATCCCTGGTACTGGTAAAAAAGAAAAAAACAAAAAATTGTTTTACACTTCCTATTATCTTACAAAAATGAAAAAAATTGCAATCTTTGGTTGTCCTGTATTTAAATAATTGGTAAATGATTAAAATACCACCAGCAGGGAATGTAGTAATTAGATGGGCCTGCAGGAAGCAGGCTTTAACTAGTTTATTCCTTTTGGTAGGAAGCAATGTGGCAATAAGTGATGATGTACGGAGGTAGTTAGAACCCAGGAACCAGGGTAAAAAATTGTCAATCTATAAAATTATTCCCCTGAAACTTTTAAGCAGAAGGACTTAAAACAGATGTATGTTTATGTAGAAAAATGTGTCCATAACACCAATTGCCTCATGCAGCTGTGAGGTACAGAGTAGCACTGGTTGATATACTTTCTTTCTTTTTTAGGGGGGGATGTTACTTGCCCTGCAGACGCTTGTGCCCATGAGCTAAATCCCCAGCGTGTGACATACTTTTTTTTTTATCTTTTTGAGACAGGGTCTCATTATGCAGTTCAGGCTGGCCTTGAGCTCACTTTGTAGCCCAAGCTGATCTCGAACTCACAACAATCCTCCTGCCTCAGCCTCCTGAGTGCTGGGATTACAGGCCTGAGCCACCATGCCCGGCGACATACTTTCTCTTAATTACTAAGAGAGACGAATTATTTGGAAAACACGTGACACTGAAAGAACTGCTCTAGGCGGGGTGTAGGCAGCTCAGTGGTGAGCACTCCCACGGCATGTGTCAGGCCCTCCTAGCACTGTCAAAAAGGGAGAGTGTTGTGCTAAATTGGGGAAGGTGGCAGGCTGTCACCTCAGGGCTCCGAGAGGCTAAGGCAGGAGCATCTCAACTCCAACTCAGCAGGCAATTTCCCTTGGCCAATGCAGCAGGACCCTGTCTCAAAATAAAAAGTAAAGAGGGCCAGGGCTATAGCTCTGAATTCCATTCCCAATGCCACAAAAAATAAGTAAGTCAAATGAAAAAATGATTCAGTGAACTGGGTCATCCAGCCACTCATTCATTAAGTGATGAAACACTGGTTAAAACCAACTAGCATTTAGAAAACGGAGAAGCTAGAGGTGGATGTGGTTTCCTGTGGTCCTGTTGCCAACTACAAAATGGCATAATCTGCAGGCACTGGGTAGGAGCTGGCCCAGGAGATGAGTTTCCAAGCCCTTCTGGCTGGCATGGCTTCCAGCCGGCCTATACTGTGGAGGCAGCGGCCAGCTGCTGCTGAAGCCTCGGATGAGGCACAGGAGTCTGAGCAGGCAGGGAGCAGGGGACTCAAAGAGGAGCAGAAATTCGCAGGAATCCCATGACTCTCAGGTGTGCAACAGCGGACTGGAGTCTTGCAGCTGTGCTGTGTGGCCTGGGGTGGCAGCCTATTTTCTCATCTGTGAAGGGATAATGCAGTCTAACTTGATGCTATAATAATGAGTAAATAAAATAATATGCCTACCATACAGAAACTACTCAGAAAGCTATCAGGATTACTTGTAAAGGGAAGAGCTGGGAGTGATGGAGCATGCCTAGAATCCTAGCACTTGGGAGGCTAAGGCATGAGGACTGACATGAGTTCAAGCCAGCCTAGGCTACATAAGCAAGTTAAGACCAGCCTGAATTGCATAGCAAGACTGTGAATCAAAAACACAAACAGCGAAAAACTTACAAAGGGAAGAAGACTCCCGCGTGGCACTTTCTAGTTTCTTTCACAATAAAAAGCTGAATCTACTAGTAGTTACCTAAAGCACAGTGTGCTTGGAATAGTCTTAACTCACTTTGTTCTCTGTGTAGATTTTCTGTTTATTCCTTCATATTTGGCTGAATAGCCAAGTGAAAAAATTTAACTGAATAAAAATGACATCATTTGGGCTGGGGATTTAGCTCAGTGGCTTAAGCACCTGCCTGGCAAGTGCAAGGTCGTGAGTTTGATCCCCATACCAAAAAAAAAGACATTACTCCAATAAAGAAATATGGGCAATTACACTTACAAATTATTTTTAGTGCGGTGCTGAGGATATATTTTAAAATGTGATGAATTATGTTATTTTAAACACATTCTTCCTTTCCTAGAGAAGCCTCAACAGGAGTAATAAAGCTATCTACCATAAGAAACTCACACGTATCAACACAGAAAACAAAACAAAATTAAAAAAATACAATCTTCCTAGGACTACAGTTCTGAAAATGAAAAAATAAAACCTGATTTCCAAAAATTTAATTTCCAGTTGGTACGTGCCTATAATCTCAGCACCCAGGCGGCTGAGGCAGGGGTTGGTGAGTATGAGCCAGCCTGGGCTACACAGTAAGAATGTTTCAAAAGTTTTTCAAAGAAACAAAAATATCCACAAAATGGAATCAATATGTATATAAAAATTATACCAATAAACCTAATAAAAAACTACTCCATAAAGAAATATCCATAAAAAATCATAACATCTACAATCTCTCAAAAAATGGTCACAGAAATTTCTCCTAAGACTCTGACAAAATAGAATCAAATTAGTACAAAGCTGAAGATCTGTAATGTTATTCAGAATGGCAAAAACTACTGAACTAAAGGAATAGCAGTCTATTCTATAAACAACTAATCTGATAGAAAAATATTAAAAACAAAACAAAACAAAAAATGACATTCCAGTGGGGATGTGTACTACACGCAAAATGTGATGATGGTGCCATTGCAGGACAGGAAGGGAGCCGGGCAAGGCGCAGACCAGGGCCCGGGCAAGGCCCATGGAGAGGCCCAGCTCACACACGCGGGGCCCTACTCATCCCGCATCACAAAACACAACACGCTGAGTGTAAAATAATATGCAAAACAGGAACATAATGACTTATACATGGCTGCTTTTAATGGTTTTAAAAAATTAAAAATTTATTATGCATCTTTAAACACATACAAAAAATAGAAAAAACAATACATTGAATACCCATGTAGACACCAGTTAGATTGGTTAACATCTTGCCATTTACCCTTCACACATACACATACTTTGCTAAACAATTTCAATTTATTCAAGGAAACTAACATTTCACTCCTGAGTCCTCTAGGACACAAATGAAGACAATCTTCTATAAATGACAACAACTTTTTCACAGCTCATAAAGTAAGGAATAATTGAATACTGAAGATCCAGCCTACAACTGTATCCAGATTCCTACAGTCCCCACCCCAAGGCTTTTACAGACGGCTGAGTCCAAGCAAGGACTCCACACTGGTAGCTGGAATGCTTGGGAGCTGGGATGTAGGTCACCGACAGAATGTGTGCTTAGGTAGAGCGTGCAAGGCCCTAGGTGGATCTCTGGCCCACAAAAACAAAACAAACAAAAATAAATAAAATAAAGACACCATGTTGCACTGAACTACAATAGCTCTTCATTTTTAATCTAGAACAGTTACCCATATACCTCCTTTATCTCTTCCCAAAAACAGCATCTACAAGAGGTTAAGCCAATTATCTTCTACAACACTTCAGTTTAGACCTGTCTGGGCCTTTCCTGAACAGTGCCATTTGACTTGTTGCTCTGTCCTCAGTATTGTCCTGCAAAGGGAAATTAGCTCTTAAGGCTAGAGAATGATCCAGCCAAAACTTTTTGAGAAGAGCACTTCATTTGCAATGCAGCACACTTCAAATTGCATCACAAATAAGTATACCTGGTTGTCTGCTTGTTGTTCACTGTCATCAGAACCTTTCCCTAAAAAGTATGTTCTGGGGCCAGGGATATAGCTCAATGGCACAGGGCCTGCCTGGCAAACTCAAGGTTTTGAGTTTGATTCCCATGACCAAAAACAAAAAAAAAAGTACATTTTCTACTATCAGCAAGTACTTGGTGAGAAAATATTCTCTTGTCAAGAGAATTCTAGTGAGGATATTTATCAAATTTTTACCCAATATTTTGGCAACAAAAAGTCTTTAAGAGGTTGTTTTTGTTTTTTGGGGGGTAAGGGAGGGTCTTGCTCGGCAGTTCAAGCTGACCGTGAACTTACTTAGTAGCTATCTTCCTGCCTGAGCCTCCCATGGGCTGGAATTACAGGCAAGCACCACATGACATGGCTTTAAAGGGTTTTAAGTTAATTTTCAAAATTTTTTTAAATTTATTTTTTAGTATTTCAACTATTAGGCCAGGGATATAGCTCAGTGGTACAGTGCCTGCCTGGCAAGTGCAAGGTTATGAGTTTGATCCCTGGTACCACAAAAAAACAAAACAAAACAAAAAACAACTTTTAAACACTTGAAAACATTTTTTTTCTATGAACCATACGTTTGTTTTTGTTTTTCTGGAGACAGGGTCCCAATATATATAGTATAGACTGGCCTTGAACTCTACGTAGCTCAAGCTGGGCTCAAACACACTGCAATCGTCTTGCCTCAGTCTCCTAAGTGCTGGGATTGCAGGTGTGCACTATCACACCTGGTTCAAATCATAAAATATATACAAAAGATTCACTTATAATTATGGCAAACTTACTCAATTAAAATGTGAGCTCCTCCCTTCTTTTTGATTTTGTCTGAAACCCTGTAAAGAATAGAAAATAAATAGTTAAAAGCAAACTGCCCGAATATCCAAAGCAACCGTGAGCAAAAACAGCAAGGCTTGAGGATTCACAACACTCAAGTTCAAACTATCTGACAAAACCACAGCAACAAAACAGCATGATATTGCCACAAAGACAGACAGGGAGGATAAAAGAGAGGACACAAAGACATCTCCACCATCACAGTATCTGAATTCTTGATGAAAGGGCCAAAAGCACACATGAAAAAAGCTTCTTCAGCCAAACAGAGCTAGGAAACCTATGTCCTATGGAATTAACAACAGCACATTCATGGTGGCCTGCACACTCATGGCTCATAAAAGGTAAGGACAGAACCGGCGGGGACACTTGTTAGTGGAGAAGCAGATAGAGAAAGCAGGGCAGGCCAAACAGTGGGGACACTGAGCCAGAAAGAGCAACAAAGTTATGTCATTCATAGGAAAATGGAGGCCAAAAAGTTAAACCAATGAGCCAGTCTCAGGATAACAAGGGCATTTTCCTCTCCCACGCAAGGCAAGGGCAGCGTGCCAGCAGAATGCTTGCTGTTGTCCAATTCCCCGTACCAAAAAAAAAAGAAAGTACGTTTTCCCATATCAGGGAGGGGGCAGCAAGTGGGAGGAAAGCAAGAAGGTATGAATGTGACTGAAATATGTTATATGCATTTATGAAAATAAAATTTTAAAGAAGAAAAACAAAACAAAAACAAAAAAAAAAGAAAATGAAAAACAAAGATTTCAGTAAATCACGGAATATTCAGTTGTTTTATAATCCAATGTTTAAAAAACAAGTAGCAAAATAAATCTTAAAAATTAGGATGCCCATTTTTTCTTTTCATTTGTTGGTACTAGGAATCATATTCAGGAAGTTGTGCCTACCAGGCAGGTACTACATGGCTGAGTTACATTCCCAGTTGTATGGACACTCATTTTATACAGATGCTAATAATTACTTTGTTTCATGTAAAACATTTTACTAATTCTACTTAAAGTATCATCAGTAAGTAAATTTATAGCATTCTAGTGTGTTTTAAGTTCTTTTTTTTTTTCCATCTTTTTCCTTTTTATCGGTACCGGGGATCGAACTCACGATTGCCTGTTTGCAAGGCAGGAGCTTATGCTGCTGAGCTAAATCCCCAGCCCCTAGTGTGTTTTAAGTTACACTGGTGGTGCACACCTCTGATTTCAGAACTTGGGAGACGGAGACAGGAAGATCACAGTAGTTTAAGGTCAGCCTGGGCTGCAGAGTGAGTTCAAGACCATCTTGAACTTCATCATGAGACTGTCTCAAAAAAAACCAAAACCAAAAACAGCAAAGGCTAGCCATTAATGTATGGCTATGATTCAATCTGTGAAAGTCTACTGACCAGGTGTGGTGCTATGAATGTACAATCCTAGCTACTCAGGAGGCTGAGGCAACATTATCTGAGCAAAAGCTTTTTAGGTAAGGTTAGGTAAAAGAATAAGACCTCATCTCAAAAACCAACAAATAAAAACAATGTAGTTGGGGCTGGGGATTTAGCTCAGCAGCATAAGTGCCTGCCTTGTAAGCACGTGGTCGTGAGTTCAATCCCTGGTACTGGTAAAAAATATAAATAAATAAATAAAAATTTAAAAAACAAAACAATGTAATCCTAGCACTCAGGATTGCTGTAAGTTAGAGGCCAGTTCAGGCTTTGTAAAAATGACGACAACACAAACCCTCCTGTTTTTTTTTTGGTCTTTTTGAGTCAGGATTTCACTATGCAGTTCAGGCTGACCTTGTGCTCACTTTGTAGCCCAGGCTGGTCTCGAACTTGCAAAGGATCCTCCTGCCTCAGCCTCCCGAGTGCTGGGATTACAGGCATGAGCCACTACGCCCGGCTCAGCACAAACCCTTCTTGTCTCATCTTCTATAATTAATTTTATCACAAATCAAAGCAGGAAAACTACTGAGATAAAAAAATAATGAGCCAAGTGTGGTGGTATATGTCTATAGTCCTATCTTAGGAGGCTGAGGCAAGAGTTACTGCAAACTTAGGCCAGTCTGGGCTACACAGTGAGTTCAAGGCCAGGATGAGCTACATAGCAAGGACCGGTCTCAAAAATAAACAGATGAACAAAAATAATTGAGAAACACTTAAACAATATATGATCAAGTGAGGTATAGTGATGCATACATGCCTATAATCCCAGAGTCTTGGGATATGGAGGCAGAAGGATCACAAATTTGAGCCCAGCCTGGGCTATACAGTGAGATCCAGTCTCAAAATAAAATATTAAACACTACTAGAGTCAGGGATACAGCTCAGCAGTATTAACACCTGCCTGGCAAGAACAAGGTCCTGAGTTTGATTCCTGGTATCAATAAAAAAAAAAGTCCTACAGTTATAGCTCAATGCAAAGGCCTTGAGCTCAATCACTAGTGCCACAAAAGAAAAAAAGTATAATCAAAAAAGCCCCTTAACCAAAGCTCTGAGTTCAATCAGCTCACAGCCCACACTCAATACACACAGGGCCCACCTGAGAGGAGTCAAATTTTCATCTTTATTCAGTGGTTATATCTTTATCAAGAAATTACTGACACACATGAACTATGTATGCTAAAAATGTACACTTTAATAATTTTTTTGTTTTGTTTATTTGAAACAGGGTCTTAACTATGTAGCTCAGGCTGGCCTCAAACTCATGGTGATCCTTCTGCCTCAGCACCCCCAACTGCTGGGATCACAGGCCTGTGCTACCACACCTGGCTTTTTAAAAGAATTTTTTATTTTAAGGTTTTGTTTTGTTTTTTTGTCTTTTTCCTTTTTATTGGTACCAGGGATCGAACTCACAACTGCCTGCTTGCAAGGCAGGTGCTTATGCTGCTGAGCTAAATCCTCAGCCCCTATTTTAAAGGTTTTTAAAAGGAACTAGAACTACAGTTCTTGGGGACAATACAAGAGGAACTTCTTAGCCTTAGGCATATAATTGCTTTTTCTGAGACGAGGTCTTAGTATATTGCCAGAACTAATGGGCTAGGGGCCAGGGATTTAGCTCAGTGGCACAGGTGCCTGCCTGGCAAGTGTGAGGTCATGAGTTTGATCCCCAGTACCAAAAAAAAAAAAAAAAGAACTAAGGGGCTCAAATGATCCTGCTGCCTTAGTGTCTAGAGTATCTGTGACTACAGGTGTGTGCTACCACATCCAGCTTGATGTATTTTCTGCCTTAGGATCTACATAACCAAATACATTTATTTACAAACCCGAAAAGGCTGATAGCTACAAAGAAATCATCAGAACAGGAGAATGCATGGTTTCTCACCATGTAGTAGCCAGTGTGATAGCCACTCATGTACCACGACATCAGCATGCTGCCCAGTGCGTCTGCATCATCAAACGAGTCTGGACAGATGGGAGGCGGCGGGGGGATCATCTGCAAACGGAAAGGGTATATACATATCTTTTGATATCTTTTGGGTTTTGCCTGGTCTGGTTTTATGGGGACAGAGTCTCACTTTAGTACAGACCGGCCTTGATCAGTCTCCCAAGTTTTGGGATTACAGGCATATGTTACCACATCTAGCAAAAAGAGTTTAAGTATAGTAAATAGAAACACAAAGTCTGGAGATTTGTTTTACATACAGACTGCTATGTCTCTCTATATATACAACTGTATTTTTTCCTACATGTCATGATATCTCTTATTTCAACAAATTAAAACCATCTAACATGAGTATTCAACTTTTGCCAAGCCTGGGCCATTCTGAGAGAAGAGGCATTGTCTCTATGACATACAAAATGCGTAAGATACTTAATGCATACAAATAGCAAAAGTTTTTTCTAAAAAAAACATGTTTAAAACATTAAAGATTTCTGACTCAATTGAGTGTATGGCAGGTACTGGAGGCAGCCAGTACTCCACATCCTCATGTAGCTCTCGGTTGTCAACTGTGAGGCTCACACTTGAGCACTGTGCAATTGTATCATGCATAATATGGCAGAAAACCCATGGTAAAAATTTATGATAAGCCAGGAGTGGTGGCATATCTGTAATCCTAGCACTCAGGAGCTGGGACAGGAGAATTGCTGTGAGTTTGAGGTCAGAGTAGGCTCCACAGTGAGTTCAAGACCAGCCTGAACTACAGGGTGAGACCCTGTCTCAAAAAACAGATAGATAAATAAAAACACATGATCTTGTGGAGCTGCATTACTAGCTGACCACAGGTAGGACTTACCTGATTTCTAACATTTTGAGAAAGCCAACCAACAATGTCAACAAAATTAAACTTAACAAAGATCGAAATATAATAGTTGACATAAAATATTAAATACTTTAATTTGTCTGGATTTTGTCCTATTATTAAACTATGAGTAAAAGATCAAGCGTAAGCATTTGTTTTTCCTCAAAACACACATATACCATTCACCCAGCACTTCAAGGGTCACTGTAAGTAAAGGTAGAACATTTGCTCTACTCCTACATAGTCTGCCAAAAAGTGTCCTAGTATCTATTGTTAACACCTAAAACTTACCATTAGAAATACACATTACACACTAGAAGCTGATATCCAGGTACTCTCAGGAGGGCAAAACATGAACCTTTACATTTGGTGTAATTACGCCCTTCTAGTAGGAGCTACCTCCCCATAGAATAGACGCAGCTCCTGCTAGGAAAGGAGCAGGATACAGAGATCAGAGATGGGGCTAAAAGACCACTCTGGCTAATAGGAGGGCACAAAACAAGAAACTGCTGGCTGCAGTGATGTAAACCTATAACATTTGGGAGTCTGAGGCAGAGGATCCCCACACAGTGAGTTCAAGGCCAGCCTGAGGTGACACAAGCAAGATCCTGCCCACCCCTTAAAACCCCGAAATCTTAACCAAAAATGATAAACAAAAAAAGTGATGTTTAGTTTAGTTCAAACTTTTATCCTTGAGAGTCTGAACCTGGGCATGGTCTTTGCTACAGTCCAAACTTAATACAAAAGCAGTTTTCCCAAAATTCTTCTGTACTTACTGGAGGTCCAGCCGGAAATGGAGGCAGCCAGCATGACAGGAAGTGTGGAGGTGGTGGGGGTGGGGGTAGGCCACTGAATTTTAGACCTGGCTATAAAGAATATTTCGAAGGAAAATTTACTGACTTCAATGAAAGAAAAAGGATCCAAAAACAAGAAAAATAATTACCCAAAATAATATCTGTATTATACATATTAAAAACATTAAATTTCTGTAGCCAACCGTGAAGTCAAGTAGTTGCGTAAGCTAAATGATAACTTTTAGATTTCTCCCATCTCCATCATATATACACACTGAGGAAGTAAATTCAAGGTATGGTGGACTCAGGAGTTCAGAGGTGCCCACGGGCACAGGGCCCTGGCTTCTCAGTTAGGCAACAGAAGCTCATTCTTCCCTTGCTTTCACTCACTACACAGTATCACCCTGTCATGGCCCCCCTGGGAGTTTCACATGCACACTCCGAGCACATATTCTGAAACCTAGCAACCCTCTCATCTGATGAAAATCAGCCACATCAATGAATCACCATGCAGAGAACCTCAGTCACATTCAGGAAACTAATACAATGTAACCCTTGTTAAGAAAGGGATCACAGAAAATCTTAAGGAAAAGTTTGAAAGAGTCACACTTGATTTTTTTTTTTTGCACCAGGAATTGAACTCAGGATCTTGCACTTGCCAGACAGGTGCTGTGATGTTGGGCTACATCCCTAGCCCTATACTTGATTTTTAAAACTTGTATGACTATCAGACCCCCATGGAGGAAATCACTGCTTCACACAGAAGAACTGGAAAGAGACCTACCTACCTTAGGGTCTAGACTTATTTGGCCTATAGTAAAACTCTCTTTTTACCAGGTGATTTTTCTAATTTATAATCAATAACGCAACATATGAATCTACATTTTAATTCTGGTAAACAATTTGAAATACCTTCAGATTTTATCCACAGCAGATTAAACACTATTTTTTTTCTTTTTGTAAATATTTGATACAGTTACCCGTATCAAATACAGCAAACTGTACAGATCATCTAGCTGATACAAAAGTATTACAAGTTCTCTAAGTCTTTCAGTATAAACCAATTTGCATCACCATCTTATTTCCTTTTCAAAGCCTGCTCAGGCCTGGAATACTAGCTGAGCCAAGGAGATTTGGAGTTTGTGGTCATCATGGGAAACATAAGATTCCTGCTTCAAAAACCACCCCCTCAAAAACATAAGACAAAATTAAACAGAACTACTGTGTCACAAAAACGTCACATCCTACAGAGACTCAGTTTTAATTGCTTCCTGGAACCTTTTCTGGGGAGAAGTTTACCTTTCCAGGTCCAGATCCTGAGCTAGGAACGGGGGGTGGTGGCGGAGGGAAAAAGGAGTTCCAGGGTGTGGCTTTCGACCTGACCGTACTTGGTTTGCTTCCTGGAGACTTGGAAGAGTTCTCACTTTCATCCGTTGAAACTTGACTTCCATTTTCATTCTTAAAAAAAAAAAAAAGTTGGACACATTTTGGTTATAAAAGGTGTTAAGACGAACTGAGTAGTCTGTATCAAAAAAACAACTAGTTACACTGTAGTTTCTCATCTAGTCTCTGCTTCTAAGAATGAGAAAGTTTCTTCTTCACCTCCTGTGTGTTCTGTTCCATGTTGTTGGCTGCTTCAGAGCTTGGGGAAAGTAGATCAGACAGATTTTGTTCCTCCCTGTTTCCATATCCAGTATAGACCACAACACAGGTTTCTCTCTTCAAATCCACAGAAGCGATTGTAGCTGGATAAATGCAGCCATCTTCTGACCAAACAGCAGAACACCTGTCACCCACTTTCCACTACAAGAAATCACAGACACATAAACACTCAGGGCAAACTATCACTTAGTGCAGACGAGGGCACAGCACAAAGAGAACTCCCCGGGAACAGACACCACAAGGCACAGCACTATGTTGACAAGGCTCAGGGCCAAACCAGATAGACCTCCATTCCAACTCTGTCACATGTACAAATATGGACAAAGCCCTCAGTCACCCAGAGTCTCCTTCTCCCCATCTGTTAGCCAGTGGTCCCAGTTTGCCTTCCACATTCACTATGGAGAGCAGGAGGGACACAGACATCTAATGTCTAGCACTCGGGTCTGCAGCTGCTCCTCTGGGGCTCACTCTCTTCTCCTCTGTTAATGACGCGGCTAACACTGACTACTCAGACATCAAAATACTGAGCTTCCAGCTTGCTATATAGAACTAACAGTTATATATAACTACCCATGTGGGGAACCAGACAGATGACTCTCCTTACAAAGAAGAGCAGCTGTCTTCACTTTGGATAAACTTGGCTCTATCTCCATGTATTGCTATGTACAAAGCTGGTTAAGCTGTTTCTTTGTCCCTTCAATTGACTTTAAGCAATGTAAACTGGGCTGGCTGAGGAATTGATGTGTAATCTCTGAAGCGAAGCAACAGGTCAGGGTTACCCAGTGACTTCCCAAATACGTGGCTGACCTGGGTGGGATGGAGAGCCATGCTCCGCACTGTCAGCTGGGACTGACTGAGCCTAGAGGAAGAGGCTATGACTTCCCAGGGCAAAAAGGATTGTACATCAGAACTGAAGCACCAACCCCAAATTATTAGATACTGCCTCAGCTGTGTTATGCAGATTACTCTTTGCATTTTTTGCCCTCTACTTATCACAGAGGTGACCTCAGACCTCCTACCTAGCCCAGCTCACCTATTTCCCACTGCTCTCAGTCACTCATCACAAGCCATTCTCCTCATAAGGAATTAATAAAACCTAAATTGGACTCTGGGTGTGGCTTTTGTTCTAGTGAACCACTATCTTGGTTGGATTTAGGACCCCTTAACTATATATATGTCTTGGTGACTTTATTCTCGCCTTGGGTTGCAATGAAGTGGCTGGAATTAATGCACTAGAATTCCAATAACTTCTCCTTGGGATTACAAATATAAACCTTCTTGGACTGCAACAAGGATGGGAAAGGGTTCTCTATGTACCCAGAATTTTTGGTTCTCTGAAATTGACAGTTTTAGAATTTTTGAAGGAGAAGAACATAAAGCTGTGTCTCTCAGCTTGAAAAGTAAAAATCACTGCGGATGCAGCATGGGACACTCAGGTTCTCCTCATGTAGCACTGTAATCTCCTCCTCTGTCCTCTACACAAGCCATCTTGCCCATGTCCTTACGCTTCCACCAGTGACATACATGTTACTGAACAACAGCAAGCTTAAGAGCTGCTGCGTAAGTTCCATGATTACAAGTCAGTAATACAGTAATCACTGCAGTAATAGCTTAAGTGACACACTATAGTAATACATCAAGTGAAAGACATGTGAAAACTATTAAGGGGCTCAGTGGCATAAGTGCCCGCCTGGCAAGCACGAGGTTGAGAGTTTGATTCCTGGTACCCAAAAACAAAAACAAAAACCCCACAAGTATTTAATAAGGACAAAAAAAAAAAAAAAAAAAAAAAATGCTTTGAGGGTAAATCTCAGTACTTTAAAATAACCTGTTTTGAGGGAGCTGTGGTATTCTTCTTCTGGCTTTTACTCTTCTTAACAGGTTTTCTTCTGGGTGTGCCCTTCGGTTTGCCGGACATTTCTCCTTGTGGTTTATCTGAAATGTCACCATTCTTTAGAGCGTACTATGAAAATAGGAATAAAAATGTGCATGTCACAGAATGGCACATCTTAGAAAGTCAAAGCATAATTCACTTTCTATAAAAGCTGACCCAAGGCCCCATCAACTCAAGACAACCGCTGCTTTCTTTGTTCACCATATGCTACAGGCACCGCTGGCTCTTGAAGCCATGACATCTCTGATCATCAGCTCTGAAGACCTTTTAAGTCAGGTCTCTGCTCTCAGCCTCTCTGTAACAGCAGATCCTGTTGACCCCTCTTGTTGACCTCCTCCTTCCATCTCCATACCACGGGGTCCCCTTAAAGTGGCAAGCTGCCCAGGCTGGGCTTGAGCCTAGGATCTTTCTATGTCAGCCTCTCACATTGCTGTCATTATTCACACGTGCCACTTCGCCCAGCTAGCTCTTTCTTTTTGATACTCAGGACACCTTGGATACCAAAAATATAAGGCTCTGGTGCTTCTGTGGCTTCTCAGATCAAGTCATACACTTAAGCATTTTCAGTAAGACTCAACCATCCTTCTTTACCTGCTTAAAGCAATTGATTCCTATGATTTCTGTTACAATCTTTTCAAAAACAGACATCCAAATGCCATTATCGGGGCTGAGGATTTAGCTCAGCGGCATATGCATCTAACTTGCAAGCACGTGGTCGCGAGTTCGATCCCCAGTACCGATAAAAATAAATAAATAAATAAAAACAAATGCCATTATCTAGTGCTCAATTTTCTCCCTAGGTTGATCTACCATTTCCAATGACCAAATCCATATCTTCATACTCAGTATAAAAAAGTAAGCTATCTTATCCCCAAATTCTACCCTCCTTTTCTTAGATTACTTCCTCCTGCAGCATCACTGACTCCATTCCACATCTAGCCCCATTATAATCCATGTATTAGAGAACTCTCTTAGTAACACTTCCTTAATCAACTTCTAGTACATAATGGAAGGCATATATAAAACTCTAAAAACAAAGAATATATATGTGTGTGTGTATGTGTGTGTGTGCACACACAAAGATAGTTATACGACTAACTCATCTTAGTTCATTGAATAGAAAGGTCTGTGCTAATATTGCTTGGACAATTAAATGCTGATATCTTGTACCTGAGTATTAAACTGTATTAACCATTGTTACGCTCCTATTGTCTTGTTTTGAAATTTTTTTCTCTTAAAAAAAACCCTCTTGGGGCTGGGGATTTAGCTCAGCGGCATAAGCACCTGCCTTGCAAGCAGGCAGTCGTGAGTTCAATCCCTGGTACCGATAAAAACGAAAAAAGACAAAAAAAAAAAAAAAAAAAAAACCCTCTGGAATACAGATGCAAAGATGCTGTTCTGATCTTTACCTCAAGCCACAAGAGTGACTATGGGAGGCGACTGGATTTTATTCACCTGCTGTTCTATGTAGACGCATGCCTTGTGCACTCACATGCTGCACCTGGACGACTAGTGAGCCACACCTGGTGCCAGTAATGCTAACTATCATGGACATTTAGGAAAATGATGCTGGACTATAGTGCACTGTGTATGCACCACGGAATTATATTACACTCCCTAAAAATATAAAATCCTACTCTTGCTGTACTTGAGCATTTAGAATGCTCAACGCAGCATTTAGAATGATTAACCATGAGGACATAGCTCTGTGATTCTGACCAGCATGTCAGACCCTGGGCTGAATGTCTAGCACTAGAAAAAGAAAACAACAGACAAAAACAAAACGTTATCAGGCATGGTAGCACATGCCAGTAACCCTAGCAGACCTGTCTCAAAAAAAAAAAAAAAAAAAAAAACCAGGTTGTCCTTTTCCTACATATTAAAAAAAAATAAATGTTTACAATTTTAATAGTTAAGACAATTATACTACTGATTTCCCTGAGTTCACTGAGGAGAAAGATTTGGGCTGTTATTGTCCGGACAACTGAATACAGATGTCTTATACTCTGGGTGAATCATTTAGGGATGACCACCAGCAATGTATATACCATTGTTGCCCCTGCAGAAGGTGGGAGGGGAATGTTTATAATTTAATATTGTCTCTGTAAAAGAGATGACGAGCAGCCAGATGTGATGGCACGCATCTCTTATCCCTGCACTCTTGGAGACTGAGTCGGTATTGCTATGAAGCCAGCCTGGGCTACATAGTTTAAGAGCAGCCTGAACTACATAGTAAGACCCTGTCTCAAGAATTTAAAAAAGAGAGAGAGAGATGACATGCAAATAAACTATCAACTTCTTAAGGAAGAAATCGCTGATTTAACTAATCCATATTATCATTTAAACTTTCAAATGAAAATTTTTTTGGTATCTGGGATGGAACTCACAACCTAGCACTTGCCAGGCAGGTACTTATACTGCTGAGCTAAATCCCCAGCCCTGCAAATGAAAATTAAGTCATATATACAGCAATACTTTTACCAATATTTTTTCCAGTAAATAAGGTAAAGAAATAAAGACAATAGTAAACATTACTGACAAATATCACGGTACACACTTGCAATCCCAGCACTCTGGGAGGTTAAATAAGAGGATCTTAAGTTTGATCTCAGCCTGGGCATCTTACCAACTTTGCAAAGACCCTGTCTCCAAAAAAACAGAAATGGCTCAGGCCAAAGGCCCTCAGTTCAATTTCCAGTTCCTCCCTCCTGCCTCCCATGCATACATGGAGTAAACAGGTCATACCTTAAAGGAAGCCACAGCTTTATCATAAGCTTTTATCAATGCTGTATCATCCCAAATGTCAGAGTCATCACTCTGGGAAAAGAAAGGAATAGAGATAATTCATATTTAGATAGATTTCATTAAAAATGTACTGGACAGTACCAAGATCCATCTTAATTCAGCATAACTAAACATATACAAACAACTGTCAAACCTCAACAGAAACAAAATCCAATTTAAAAAAAAAACCAGCCAAGTGTGATGGTGCATACCTGAATCTCACTTAGGAGGTTGAAGCAGGAGGACTGCTGCAAGTTTGAGGCCAGCCTGGACTATATAGTGAGTTCAAGGACAGCTTGAACTGTACTGCAAGACCATGTCTCAAAAGGGGCAAGGGGCACACCCACAAATAATTTGAACAGACCCCTTACTAAAGGGGCCTACATGACTAGCAAATAAGCACAATGATCAATATCATTAGTTGTCAGTGAAATGCTAATTAAAATCATAAAATGCCACTACACACCTACAAGTCTAAAATTAGTAAGACTGACAGTATCAAAGGTTTGCAAGGACATCAAATAAAAGAAACTTTCATACACTGTTGGTCAGAATGAAAAATGCTGGACAGAATGACGCCCATTTAGAAGAAGATATCCATTTAGAAGAAAAATTTAGCAGCTTCTTAAAGACTTAAAATATAGATAGCCATGGTGACTACAGGTGACACACTCCTGCAGTCCCAGCACATAGTGAGTTCAAGGACAGTCTGAATTACGTGGCAGACCTGTCTCAGAAAAACTAAAAACTAAAAAAAGTTGGGTATGTAGTTTAGTATGAAGGCTCTGGATTCAAATTCTAGTATTGCAAAGTAAATAAAGGCAGACTTAAAGTACACGTACCCCATGACCTAATCAGTTACCCAAGAAATGAAAAAATAATAGCATTTATCCCTACATGTAATATACACTAATAATAGCTGGTTATGGTGAGACTCATCTGCATTCCCACCTACTCTGGAGGTCACAGGTCCCAACCCAGCTTGGGCAACTGATGGAGACCTTGTCTCAAAATAAAAATTAAAAAAGGGCTGAGGATGTCGATTTGTGAACACTCCCAAATACCATAAGTAAACAAAACTTTCTCTACTTAAATTCTCCTCCATCTTATGCCTAATTTATTCAGGTTCTATTTACAATAAAGTTCCTTGAAATGGCTGTTCACAAATATTGTCCTAAACACTCTTTTGTCACTTTTTGAATTATTTTTTCTATTAGGGATTGAACCCACAGTCACTGAGTTACATCACCAACCTTTTCTTTTTTCTTCTAAGGGAGAGTTTCAATAGATGGACAAATTGTACTCAGTGGGCTCAAATTTGTGATCCTCCTGCTTCAGTTTCCCAGACTGCTGGCATTACAAGGCATGTGCCACCACACACAGCACAGCGCTTCTATCTCATCAGCTCTCACCCCCATATGCCAAGCTCAAGATTCAGCTCTTGTCGTACTTTCAGTCTTCCTTCTTCCCCATTAAAAAAGAGGTTGTCATTCAGGACAACCTCTGAGTTATCCTCGTCACTTCTCTAAGACTTTTTTTTTTTTTTTTTTTTGGTACCGGGAATCGAACCCAAGACCTCGCGCTTGCCAGGCAGGCGCTGTGTCGCTGAACTACATCCTCGGCCCCGAAACCTATTTTTGTAATCCACCTAGATTACTGATTATATCCAGAATCCATACACTGTAGCCTGAGTCCACTGACATTTTTATTTAAGTTTGATCATTTCAACAGGCTTCCACCCCGCCTCAGTGAGCCACTGGTCAGGAGAGACAATCAAGTTGCAGTAGGGTCTTGGCTAAACCCACCAAAGCGCTCGAGCTGGTAGGAGGCTTAGAGTAGGGAATCTCAGGAAAGAGAGTAGAAAAAGATGAACAAATATGTGGACCATGGCTCTAGGGAGCAAACCGGCTAGGTCCAAGCATATTGCCAGAGCCTCGAGCGCACACCGGGCACCCATACAGAGCATTCGCGGCCCGCCAGCTCACCTGGCCTGTCCCGCGCCGAAACAGCACCGAGTTTTCCTGCTCTGGGACGCAGCCACCATCGCCGCTGCTGCTCATCGCCATGGCGAGCCTCCTACGGGGTTGACGGCATAGGGCTCCAACAGAGAATGACGACTTCCGCCGCCGGGGCTTCTGGGACCGGAAGAGCACGGTGGCTGGGAGGGCTCAGCAAGTTTTGTGCAACTGTGGTACTGCGCTCCCGTGTTGGTCTAGTGGAGTTCCTTTTCAGTCTCTCAATCCTTTGATTGCACTGTTTTGTATTTTCCTAAAATGATTCCACCGGGTTTTTTTTTTAAAGCAATAAATTTTCTTAGAAAATAATGTTGCAGGCAGTTTATAGGGAGTAAAGGCAACGATGCAGTAAACATCTGCCCAGAGGTATAGTATATAACAAGTCTTAGGAGTTACATGTATTTTTTTATTTCATACTAGCTGGGCGTAGTGGCGCATGCTTGTAATCCCAGCACTTGGCGGACTGAGGCAGGAGCATCACCGGGAGTTCCCAGCCAACCTGGGCTATAAAGCAAGTTCAAGGACGGCCTGAACTACACAACAAGACTCAAAAAAAAAAAAAAAAAAAAAAAAAAAAGCCAAATACAAAAAACAAGATGAGAAACAAAAAACAAAAAACAAGATGAGAAAGCCTAGGGATGTAGAGCTCAATGATACAATGCCTAGCATTTCCTAGGCTCAAGATTCAAATCCCACCCCAGCATCACAAAAAAAAAAAAAAAAAAAAAAAAAAAAATGTTTAAAATAAAGATGAGGAAGCTGAGGCATCAAGTGTGTTTAAGAGTTCATACCTTCAAATTGCTCCCCCCCCCTTTTTTTTTGTACCGGGAATTGAATTTGAGATCTTGTGCTTGGCAGGCAGGTGCTGTGCTGCTGAGCCACATCTCTACACTGCGTGCCCCCCCCCATTTAACATTAATACTTATTCTTCCGAATATTTCTAGTAAATTTTTGAACGCTAAAAAATGGGATTGAGCGGGCTGTGGCGGTGCACTCCTGCAACCCCAGCACTCAGGAGGCTAAGGCAGGAGGATCCTTAAAATTCTAGACTAGTCTGGGCTACAAAGTGAGCTTAAGGCCAGTCTGAGACCCTGTCTCAAAAAACACACAAAAAAAGGAATCAATGTATATTAAGAACCTTCATTTCCCATGAAGATCATCTTTCCATGTTTATGTTTCCATGGGTCATGAATAATTTTCTGATACAGTACTGTATTCACTTACTATTGAGGATTGAACCCAGGGGGCTCTCTCACACCTACCCCCCTCTCAAACTGGCACATGTTAAGCATGGGCTCTACCACTAATTTATAGACCCTAGCTATTAAGCATCTACAGTTAACAAAATGGATTACCTTTTTTTAATTACCTTTTTTGAAAACTACACCAAAGGCAGTTTGAGGGCTTCCCCCTAAATACTTATGATTTCTCTTTAATAAGAATTACAAAGTGCTACAGTGCTTACCTAGCTTGAGGCCCTGGGTTCATTCCCAGCACGAAAAAGGAATGAATAAGTAAGGTTTGTGAGTGTAGGGCAGTGGTATTGATATAAGCGATACAGAGTGGCAAAACTGGTTGGAGAACTGTGTGGGACCTGTCAATTTGAAATCCCAGGTCAGAGGCAGATGATTCCTTGGCCCCCTATGTGGAACTTCTCTCCAGCCCCCAGGAGATATGCATGGCATGAATGAGACCAGAGATAACCGGAAACCCACTAGGTGACTCCAGGGTATGCTTTTATTTTTGCTTTTTTTTTTCTTTTCTCTCTTTGTTCAGCCCAAGTTAGCTCTGCAAAACCAATTTTTGCCTAATTTCTAATCCCTCACCTTTGCTTTTTTGGGATTTTTTTTGGTACCTAGGATCCAAACCCCGACCTTGCACTTGCCAGACAGGTGCTTATTGTCATGCTCTATGCTTTTTGTTTGTTTGTTTGTTTTTGCAATTTTTTTTTATCGGTACCGGGCATTGGACTCACGACCACCTGCTTGCAAGGCAGGTGTTTATGCTGCTGAGCTAAATCCCCAGCCTCTCATGCTCTATGCTTATTACCCTAGTAACCAAGCACCAACCACACAGTTATAGATTAACTGACCATGCGGTCATGCTGTTCTGTATGCATGTTTCCCCCCACCCCAGTAACATGTTTGCTGTGTCAACCTTTGTTCCCCTTGTAAGAGACAAATGATGCTGTGTCAACCATTGTTCCTTTTGTGAGAGAAAAATGTTTCTGGAATTGGCAGACCAAGGGCTATAAATTGGCTAACCACCCACTGTGAAATGTCTCTGACTTCAAGCAAAGGAAACAAAGGCCCACCTTGTTTCTGTTTCTCATTGCTATGTTCTTAATGATCAATGAGCTAATCACAAATGAACTATAAAAATCAGTCAAAATTCTAACTCAGTTGCACAGCTTGCAAATTTCATCTGCACTGTGTTGCTGGGCCAGCTAAAATAAAAGCGCTTCTTTTAAAAAAGATATTGTCTTGCCCCATTTTTCATCTCATGGGGCCTTTTTGGGGGGGTTACAACACTTATGACACTGAGCTAAATCCCTGGCCCCGTTCACTTTTGAAATAAACTTTTGGCACTGTTTTTATTTAGTTTATTTGGCTTTTTTTTTTTTTTTGAGACAAGGCCTTCCTGTGTAGTTCAGGCTGGTCTTGAGCTCACTGCAATCCTCCTGCCTCAGCCTCCCAAGTGCTGGGATTATAGGCATTTGCCACCATGCCAGCCCTCATTTTTGGTTCTCTCATCCAAATCTTTGCAGCAAAAAGGACCTGAAATACTTTTGTTTGGTGAGCCATCTCTAAAGGAACTAGTAACTACAATAGCCTGCTCAAAACATGTAATTGGCCTTAGATCCATTCACAGCACACACAGAGAAAGGGAGAGAAGAACAGAGTAATGTTAGTGAAAGAGTATGAAAATGGTAACTATGTAGAGGCGTTAGCTATTATATATCTGGAATGTGGTGATTCATTTCATAGCAGATGACACAACACAAATCTGTACACTTCAAATATGTACAGGTGTTTTTTGTTTTGTTTTGTTTTTAGAACTGGGGATTGGCTTCATGCCTCTGCACATTTTTTTTTTCTTTTTGGGGACAAGGACTCACTCTGAAGTTCAGGTGAGGCTTGAACTTTCTACGTAGCTCAGCATAGACTGACTTGTGATCCTCCTGGATCAACCTCCTGAGCGCTGAGATTACAGGTGTGTGCCACTGTGCTCAGTTTGGTACTTTTTTTTGATATAAGTTTTCATTATGTAGTTCAGAGTGATCTTGAATGCACAACAGTCTTTCTGCCTCATCCCCTTGGAGTGCTGAGAGCACAGGCATGTGCCACCATGACCAGTTTGTACAGTTTTTATACATCTAGTCATGTAATCCCAGCACTTTAGAGACGAGGCAGAAAGATTTTGAGATTGAAACCTGTCTATGTTACATATGGTAGTTGGTTAAAGACTACCAATGACTATGTAATGAAACCTTCTCTTTAAAAAACAAACAACAAAGCATCTCAGCCTAGCAGATATGCATGACCACATATGGCTTAGAGTGGGTTTTTTGTTTTACATTTTGTTTCCCTTGGTGCTAGAGATTGAACCCAGGGTCTTGCACACAAGGCAAGCACTCTACCACTACACCACATCCCTGGTTTGGGACCACAGTGTTTAATTCATGTACTAATTCTGTCATCAGTCATCCCCATCACCTTGAATAATTGCTACATTTATTATGGTCTTAGTCACAATGTTGCAGGAAACTTCCCAAGGTAAACCAAACCAAACCAAAAGGAAGACTCTTTGCACCAAGGAGATACGAAGGCAGCATTTAATCTTTACATTAGCAGGCTGTTGGATTTTCATGCCAGTGGACTGTTGCAAGGATAATTCCTCCAAAGCAAACATCCTGAATCAAGAAGGCGTTTAGCCTATATAGAATTACAAGTGGGAGGTACAAAGCAAGTGACCAAAGGTTACATGATTGGTTACATACATTGAATCATATATTGATAGACAGGCTAGTCTTGAACTGATAGAAACAGTCCAGGAACCAGGGGAGGAGGCTTTTACAGAATGAGAACAGTTAAGGGATTATCATAATATAGAAATGTTTTGGAGAGGGCCTTTACTGAATGAACACAGTTAAAGGCATTACCATAATACAGAAATGGCCTTTACTGAATGAGTATGAATCAGCCCACAATGCCTTAAGGTATAGAAAATTACTGATTTAGTGCTCACCTGAAGTGGTGCTGTGGACAATGTCAGGGTCAACTGAATTTAGCAGAAACAGCAGAACAGCAACTTAGTCAGAAATCTCTAATTGACTATGAAATATCTATAAGTTTACCATCTTATGAATGTGTTTTTACATTATAACTGTGCCCCAGCAACAATGGCCAAGTTAGAGAATCAGCCTAGATATCTATTAACGGATGGAGAAGGAACACATGGTATATAGGCCGGATGGAGTATAAATTTGCTGTACATAAAAATGAAATCAGCTGGGTGTGGTGGCTCACACTTGTAATGCCAGCACTCTGGAAGGCTGAAGCAGGAGGATTGTAAATTCAGGTCTAGTCTAGGTAGCTTCATGACTTAGTTAGATCCTGTCTTAAAATAAAACAAAAAATAAAATAAAATAAAAGGAGTTGGGATATTGCTTAGCTGGAAGGCATTGCATTCAATTCCCAGTACTAAGAAAAGAAAGAAATCCTATTATTTGCAAGATATTTATTTAGCTCACAAGTTGTACTTTTGTTGTTGTTGTTGTTACTATTAATTAAGTTTATTGATTCATTTTAAGTATATATAATGATCACATTCATTGAAAGAGTTTTTGGTGCAATGAAAGAGAGAATATAAAGTAAAAATAGCCGTGGCCCTGAATCAAGGTTGGCAGCTTCCTGACGCGGTTGGTTTCAAGCAGGAGCCTAAAGAGATGTCTTTCTATGGTCCGTTGGCCATTTCCAAACTTGGGCAGTGAAATGGTCAATTCGTTAGAAAGAAATAGCTTGAAGCAGACCCTCCCCTCCTGGTGAGCAGCTGTGAGTGTGGCAAGCTGCAGCGGTCCAGGATGGGAGCCACCAGTGTTTACTGGGACCCCTGCGAGGC